TTACGTCTGCGGAAGTAGTTTCTTAGATCACTAAGCGGGCATCACTGAATGTCATAGATGATTGGAGGAGTTTGTGTTACACATATGCGTTGTTCAAGCTGGTGTTTATGCTTGCATTGATGTGTTTGAAGGGTATGAGCAGATTCACGGACCGTATAGTTGTACCAGCCTCCGCTATGGATTGTTAATCAATTGCATTGATGTTCAAGGTTCTTCGCTTTGCGTTTGGGTCAGTTTTTGATGAAATGTGCTGGTCGCCCCCATTTATTCAAATAAACTCTGTGGTCTACATACTTGAAGGATCCTTGAAGACAACTTTTGGTTTGAGGAAACGGGGGGGGGTGGGGTAACAACCAGCTTTCCAGTTGATGGTGTGACCAACGTGATGCTGGTGTAAACTGCATGCAGTAATCGCGTTATGCACCTAACCCAAGCTGATCACTTGCCATTTTAAGACCGAGTTACGGTCTTTTGTAATCACTTTTGTGAGGTGAAGGAAGTTGTCGAAGTAGTGGTCCGGAGCTCATGCTCTCATGGAGATAATGTGTAGATAAATATATATATATAACTAATATATCATATATTAATATTGGAAGTGGATATAAATTCTAAAATTATTACAATAAAAATGGTGAAACGAGTATACTGATACCAATATTGATATATTACATATTACAAAGGGGCGACTTCGTTGTTAAGTCCCTCAATACAAGGGTCATACTTAGTTGGGCCTACAGTCATGTTTCATAACATTAGGTGGGTACAGTACATGGTCATAAATTAGTTGGGCTACTGTTCATGGTTCATAACTTAGTTGGGGGTACCCAGTCATGGTCATAAACTTGAGGTGGGTACCAGTACATGGTATAACATATTTGGGATACCGTACCTGGTCATAAATAGTTGGTACCAGCATGGTCATAACATTAGTTGGGATACCAGTACATGGTCATAACATTAGTTGGGATACCAGTACATGGTCATAACATTAGTTGGGATACCAGTACATGGTATAAACATTAGTTGGATACAGTACATGGTTCATAACATTTAGTTGGCTACAGTAATGGTCATCACACTTTGGTTCACCAGTACAAGGTCATCACACTAACTGGTGTACCAGTACAAGGTCAACACACTAGTGAGGCCAGACACAGAGGGTGGGGTTGGATGGTGGAATCTTAAGACTTTGCCTAGATCTCACAGGCAGGAGGAGCAGTGTTGAGGGGAGACATCAAACACTATTAAATTAGAAGAAATTACAATAACTTCGCAAGAAAACAAAAAGTTTAATATAAGGAATAGAACATAACATGAGTAGAAGGTAATGGACCGTTTACGATATATCTTGTATTTTTGTTATGTACTTAAAACTATCAAAGCTTAGCTATGTATAGTATTTAGTATAACGCTCCTGCCTAACTCATAGGCACTCACCAGCACAGCACCTACAGCACAAGCACCTACCTGCCACAGCACCTACCCACAGCACCTACCGCACACGGCACTACAGCACACAGCACCGCTACCCCCCACACAAAGGGCCCCTACCACACACACCACCTACCGCTCACTGCACCTACCAGCACACAGCACCTACCAGCACACAGCTCCTACCAGCTCACAGATTACAGCACACTGCAACCTACCACCACACAGCACCTACCACAACAGCACCTACCACCACACAGCACCTACCAGACACAGACCTACGAGCACACAGCAGCCTACCGCACACAGCACCTACCAGCAACAGCAATACCAGCACCAGCACCTCCACCACACAGCACCTACCACCACACAGCAACCTACCAGCACACAGCACCTACCAGCATCACAGCACCTACAGCACACAGCACTACCGCAACCGGCACCTACCAGCCACACAGCACTCCGCCAACAGCACCTACCAGCACACAGCGCCTACACCAACAGCACCTACCAGCACACAGCACTACCAACCACAACAGCCACCTCACCCACACAGCACCTACACCATCACAGCACGCTACCCCATCACAGCAATACCAGCACACAGCACCTACAGCACAAAGCACCTACCAGCACACAGCACCTACCACCCACACAGCACCTACCACCACACTGCACTACACAGCATCAGCACCATACCACCACACAGCACCTACCACCACACAGCACCTACCAGCACACAGCACCTTACCAGCAACACAGCACCTACCAGCATCCCCCACAGCACCACTCCCATCACACAGCACCTACCAGCACACAGCACCTACCAGCACCACAGCACCTACCAGCACACAGCACCTCCCACCACACAGCACCTACGCACACAGCACTACCACCACACAGCACCTACCACCCTGCCCAGCCACTACACCACACAGCACCTACCAGCACACAGAAACCTACCCACCACACAGCACCTACCCCCACACAGCACCTACCACCACACAGCACTACCCACCACAGCACCTACCTCCAACAGCACCTACCAGCACACAGCACTACCACCAGCACAGCCACCTACCACCGACAGCTCTACCTACCACACAGCACCTTCACCACACAGCACCTACCACCACACAGACCTACCACCTGCACAGCACTACCACCACACAGTACTACCACCAGCACAGCACCTCCCTACAACAGCACTTACACCCACAGACCTTCACCACAACAGCCACCTACCATCAGCACAGCGCCTACACCCCACAGCACGTACCACACATAGCACCTACCACAAACTGCACATACACATACACAGCACCTTACCACCACACCGCCCTACCACCACACTAGCACTACCACCACACAGCACTCCCACCACACTGCACCTACCACACACAGCACCTACCACACACCGCACCTACCACCACACAGCACCTACACCACACAGCACTCCACCACACCAGCTCCTACCACAAACAGCACTCTACCCGCACACAGCACCTACCAGCTCACAGCACTCCAGCACACAGCACCTACCTCCACACAGCAACTACCACAAACACAGCACCTACTACCAAACAGTAACTTCACACACAGCACTACTACCAACAGCACCTACCACCACACAGCACATACCACCAACACTGCAACTTACCCCAAACACAACACCTTATCCCACACAGCACCTACACCCACACAGCAGTACCACCACACAGCAACTATCACCAACAGCAACATACTCCACACAGAATCTACCCCACCAAACACATCTATACACACCGCAACCTCCACCACTCAGCAACTACCACCACACAGCACATACCATTACACAGATAACACACACAAGCACCTACCACCACACGCCCTACAATCACACAGCACCTACCACCACCACAGCACCTAGCACACACGCACACCACCCACACAGCAACTACACAACACAGCACCCCTACCAGACACAGCACCTCCTCAACACAGCACCTACCACCACATAGCACCTACCACAACACAGCACCTCCCCACACAGCACCTACCACCACACCAGCACCCTACCCTAACGCACTACCACACACAGCACCTACACCACACAGCACCTACCACACACAGCACCTACCACCACACAGCACCTGCTTACCACACATCACTACTACCCACACAGAAACTACCACCACACAGCACTATACCACACAGCACCTTACCCACCAGGCCCTTCCACCACACAGAACCTACCACACACATGCACCTTTCCACACACAGCACCTCCCATTCACACAACGCCTACCACCACACAGCACGTCCCACAACATAGACCCCTACTCAACACAGCACTACCACAACAGCTACCTACACCACACAGCACCTTCACGTCAGCACCTACCACCACACAGCACTACACGACACAGCACTACCACGACAAGCACCTACACCACACAGCACTTTCCACCACACAGAGCACCTACCACCACACAGCACTACCACCACACAGCACTACCACCACACAACACTACCACAACACAGCACCTACCACTCAGCACCTACCACACACAGCATACCACAAACACAGCCCTACCACCCACACAGCCACCTACCACCACACAGCAACCTACACACACAGCACCTACCACCACACGCAACATACACCACACTGCAACTTCCCCAACCAACACCTACTACCGACACAGCACCTTACCAATCACAGCACTACCCTCACCACAGCACCTACACCACACAGACCTACCACAACCAGCCCCTACCACCAACAGCACTTCCACCCACAGCACTACCACCCAACAGCACCTACACAACACAGCACCCCTACCACCACACAGCACCTCACACCACAGCACCTACCGCCACACCGCACCTACCACCACACAACACCTACCACAAACACAGACTACCACCACACAGCACCTACCACAACACAGCCCCTACCACCACACAGCACCTACCACCACACAGCACCTACCCACACACAGCACTACACCACACAGCACCTTACCACAACACGGCACCTCCCCCCACACAGCACCTACCCACACAACACTCTCACATAACTTAACCATCACAGCCGGGTCACACCAGTTAAGCTGTGGTTCTCAGGATTCAAGATTGAGCTCTGTGATCGCTCACTACTGCTGCGCTGTGGAAAGAGCCCAGACAGAGCGACTGTTAGTATCAAGACACAGAAAAAACTTGACACGGTCAAACTGTTGAATAGCAAGACTTGATACAGCAAGAATAGACACAGCAAAGACTTGCACAGAATACTTTAGAGTTATCCATTTTTGTTGTAAGGGACACCGAGAGGTTAAACCTTTGTGCATATACATAGAGAGGGGCACATATATTTCTATGTGTTATTACACCAAGAGATATACATTTGTCTGTGTATATATAACGAGAAATATACACATCTCTGTGTATATACACAGAGAAATATGCATTTATCTGTGTATATAGGCTGGAAAGGAAGCTGTCGATGCTACAGCTAATACAAATATACAGAAATAAATGTATGAACAATGAAGTATGATGCAGCACAACGAATTACAGTACTTGTATAATGAAGACAATGGGCACAGCATTATCGTGCTACAGTGAAGACAATGCCAAACATACCACAGGCACTTGTATATTGTATTCCGAGGCGTTGAAGGCTATGGGGTATCTCTCTGCCGGGTCCACCAGGATGTTGAAGAGTATGGGGCGGTCACTATGGTCTGTGGGCGTGGGCGTGGTGACATTCTCGACATCAACTCCAGGGCAGAAGTTGATACCCTAAAGCCCATGTAAAAAAACTTCAAGTTTACTCAAGCTTGCGTTATCTTAGTTTATTCTAGTATGTTTAGCTTGATTTAGCTAGTCTTATTTTTGCTAGTACAATCTTGCCTTAGCTTATTTTTACGTTATTTTATGATATCTTTCTTTGCTTGTCCTATCTTGGCTTAGCTTTTCTTTACCTTGTTTAGCTATTCCTAGAGTTAGTTGACTTACTCAAGCTTCCTTGTATATTGTAGATAGACTTAACTTTTCCAATCTAAGCATAACTTCTCTTAGCTTAGTTTAGCTCGCCTTTAAATGGTACCTTGTGATATGTGAACCTGTCCCTGTTGTGTTTGTGTGTGTAGGTTTTATGTGTGTGTGTGTGCGTGTGTGTGTGTGAGTGTGTGACTGGGACTGACCACTTCGAGTTCAGCTGGCGGGGTGCGAAGGTCAGAGATGCATCTTGTAGGATCCTTGACGCACAGCCATCAGTCTGTCACCGCGGTAGTAGAAGGGACTGCCTGAAACAGTGAGAGAGAGAACCTCTTAAACAAGATTAAAAGTCACAATAGACCGTGGTGGACTCATTCACAAATAACATACAAAGACCGTGGCCTAAAACAATTCTAAACAACCCACCATACAGTGAGGCAGGGAACATTTTACATTTACTCCTAATTTACAGAGGAGACTTTGACCGACGTTGTGCTTTATCCTGGACCATTGCAAGTCACGACGAAGTTGAATTATGAAGAGTCATCTGAAGTACCTCATGACACAACTGTTTGTTCTTTATCAAAGATGTCGCATCAGAAGGTGAAAACAGTGAGAGAACGCGAAGGATGAGGCCCCTCACCTCAACACCTGTTGATCAGGGTGAAACAGCGAGTTAGCCAGAGCTAAACCATCCAGCTCACGATCCTCAGGAGGCGTGACACCAGCCAGCTGCAACACTGTGGAGAAGAGGTCCATCTGAGTCCACACCTGGCAAAGTACGAGGGACGGACATGTGAAATGAGAAACCACCCGAAAGATTGAGGGTTTTAAAAATACTTGGCAAGGTAAGTGGAACCTGGGTGAAGTGGGAGACCACATGAGTAACGAGAGAGGGATGAGGGACCTGAGTGAAGCGGGGAATCCTTCATTTGCGTCATCCAATATGCTGGACATAAAACTGAAGCGACACTTATCTTCATGGTTATTGAAATAGAAAAAAGTGTCTTATGCAGTCGCTACTTATATAAAAATATAAACAGACTACTATTGTATATGTACAGACTTCCGTCTAGTAAATTACTACGTGTATGCACGAGATGATTGTTACGACCAAACTAACTCACCTGATGAGAGATAGAACCGGGACTAGGACTCCAAGGCCACCAGACTTTACCCGGGAGCTCTCATATCCTCCCTCAAAGGTCGTTTGTCCCGCAGGAGGAAGGGGTCCATTACGCCCTCCTGTGAGAGTATACAAATGGGAAAGAAAACACATACATAAACAATATATACACTTAGAGTGTTACACACACAATATATACATGATTTAGGAGGAAAAAAGGTGGGGAAGTTAGGCCATGAGACCTCTCAAGGGAGGTTCCTTGATGCGGAGGAGGAGCTCTTGATCAAAGGAAGTGGATTATTCTCCTTTCTTTGGAATGAATCTGTGTGCTTCACCCATGACTGTGATATAAGGCAAGTAATCAGGATTTAGATTTAAGGCAGCGAAGAGTGATATCTTAATATGCATATAACCACAGGTTGTGGAAAAAGAAATACTATTCAAGTAATTTCATGATTTTTCAGTAATTATCAAGGGAAACTCTCTTAGCCTCATAAATCTAAACAAATTAGGAGAAACCTTATTTGTTTCTCAACTTGTCTAGTGGCGATGCTTATTTAATGCAGGGAGTGGCGGAGGCTCGTTCTCCGGTCTAATGTTCATATAAGGGCCTGGGGGACTAACTCTTGAAAGCACGTATAGAATAGCATCAACAGTCTGACCATGTTGTTTGCTGACAAGAGCAGCTCCTTGTCGGAGGTGTTGAAGACAAACCAGAGTATTATTGTCGACACGAGGTCCTCTCAGCGGCCAGGATGGCCCCCACACCAGGTTTCCAGCTCCTCACAGCGTCTCCCGTAGCGACCTAAGGGGACGTCACCACACACAGAAAAGGTTAGGGAATGAAAGAACTCTTAAATATATACTGTAGCTCCGGCTGCGCTACACGTATCACCAGGGCTGGCCTCACCATCACCCAGGTGCCTCACCATCACCAGGCTGCATCACCATCCACCAGGCTGCCTCAACCAATCACCCCCCCAGCTGCCTCACCATCACCAGACTGCTCCCAATCACCAGGCTGCCTCACATCACCAGGCTGCTCACCATCACCCAGCTGCCTCATCATCACCAGGCTGCCTCACCATCACAGGCTGCCTCACATCCCAGCGCTTGCCTCAATCATTCACCAGACTGCCTACCCTTCACACAGGCTGCTCCTCACCATCACCAGGCTGCCTCACCATCACCAGGCTCCTGCTCCTCACCATCACCAGCTGCCTCACCCATCCCAGGCTGCCTCACCATCACCAGACCTGCCTCACCATCACCAGGCTGCTCACATACCAGGCTGCCTCACATCACCAGGCTGCCTCACCATCACCAGGACTGCCCTCACCATCACCAGGCTGCCTAGCGCGACATCACCAGATGCCTCACAGCACCAGGCTCGCCTCACATCACCAGGCTGTCTTCCATCACAGGCTGCCTCACCATCCACCAGGCTGCGATCACCATCACAGAATGCCTCACCCACACCAGGCTGCCTCACAATCACCAGCTGCCTCACCATCACCAGGCTGCCTCTCATCACCAGGCTGCCTTACCATCACCAGGCTGCCTCTCCATCACCAGGCTTGCTCACCATCACAGGCTGCCTCACCATCACCAAATGATGCAGAATAACTATAAAAATTTTGCAGGATGAACTATATCAAACCTTACGTCATTCTGTCTGGAATTTAATAATATTAATGAATTTAAACAACAACTCGCTCGAAAATATTCTAAGAAATGTTTATTACCAAACATATCGAGAAAACACCCCCGACTTTGCCAGTTGTAAATAAACCATGACTTATTAAAATATAAAGTATATAAATAATCACAGTACATATAAACTTCAGTATTAATTCTGTGACTAAATTCGGTCTGCTTAATAACTTAATTACGCTGTAACAGATATAAACATGTGCAGAGTTCGTTGAAGATAACTTCATAGTTATCAAAAACTTCTGGGATCAGTTGGTGAGCCTCGTTTATGTTCTGGACTACGACTCTTCCACGTAGCGAGAGAAGTAATAATGAAGTTTAAACTAACAACAAAACAAGTAAAGAATAAAAACACATAATGTGCTAGAACATTACACAAATAACCTGCACCTAGGAGAGAGAAGCTTACCACGAGTCTTTTTGTTTATATACAGTGTGCTTTGTAAAGGTCCAAGTCAGACCGAAAACATTTGTTCTAATCTCGTCTCTCCTAATGTGCGAGGAATCTCTGTTAAAAAAAAAAAATGTTCAAAGCAACATTCAGAACAAAGAATGCTTTAATTTCAAATATCTTATATACAGTGTTAGACAAGACGTGATTATTATAAATACAAGACTAAGATAAGATTTTGTTGGGATTTTTACCCCGGCGGGTCCCAGGCCATCAGAATAACTCAAGACAGTCAGTGCGTATCGAGGACTGTCTATTTCTTTGTTAGTCCTTAAATCTTGTCCCCAGGATGCGATCCACACCAGTCACAACACCCAGTACCTACTTGCTTGCTAGGTGAACGGGGACAATAGGTGTAAGGAAACACACCCGGCCGGGGATCGAACCACTGACACTGTGTGTGTAAGTTGACTGTATACACTGTGTCAGTTTCTTAATGAAGTGGAACAGAATAAAAGGTGACACAGTGTCAGCTGAAAAAGATACTAGATTTGACGATCAACTGGATGGTAAGTGTCAGAGGTCCAAGAGCTGTAAGCTCCTGTACACAACACACACACACACCTCTCCTGCTAGTGGCGTGGTAGAGGCTGGAAGCATACACAGGCTCGTGTGTGGCATCAGCCGCCCACAAGAGGAAGAAAGGTCCTTCATCTGCCTGACGTTCTATGAAGCTGACAGCTTCCTCGGTGAAGAGGCGAGTCATGTTGGACACTGCCTCACTCTCGTCGATGGCGAAGTCCTCGAAGTATCTGTGGCGAAGAGAAGTGTGGTGAGGAAAGTGTGGCAAAGAGAAACGCTTTGAGTAGTAAGTAATGTGGCATTCAAAAACAGGAAAATACTTGAGCATATTAGAAGTGTGGCTAATATTTAAGAATAAAGAGAGAGGCAAACACACACACACACACACACACACACACACACACACCAAATGGTAACTAACTAACACACACCAAATGGTAACTAACTAACACACACACACACACACACACACACACACACACACGCACACCACACACACACACACACACACACACACACACACATGCACACACACACACACACACACACACACACACACACACACACACACACAACACACACACCACACACACACACACACACAACACACACACACACACACACACACACACACAACAAGACTAGTCCCAGAGCTAAGGAGATTGTCCTATGAAGAAAGGTTAAGGGAAATCGGCCTGACGACACTGGAGGACAGGAGGGTCAGGGGAGACATGATAACGACATATAAAATACTGCGCGGAATAAACAAGGTGGACAAAGACAGGATGTTCCAGGGATGGGACACAGAAACCAGAGGTCACAATTGGAAGTTGAAGACACAGATGAGTCAAAGGGACGTTAGGAAGTATTTCTTCAGTCATAGAGTTGTCAGGCAGTGGAACAGCCTAGAAGGTGACGTAGTGGAGGCGGGAACCATACATAGTTTTAAGACGAGGTTTGATAAAGCTCATGGAGCAGGGAGAGAGAGGACCTAGTAGCATTCAGTGAAGAGGTGGGGCCAGGAGCTATGAATCGACCCCTGCAACCACAAATAGGTGAGTACACATACACACACACACACACACACAGGAAGACAGGAAGACAGGAAGACAGCAGCGAGTCATGGTACGTGGCGAGGTGTCAGAGTGGGCACCTGTGACCAGCGGGGTCCCGCAGGGGTCAGTCCTAGGACCAGTGCTGTTTCTGGTATTTGTGAACGACATGACGGAAGGAATAGACTCTGAGGTGTCCCTGTTTGCAGATGACGTGAAGTTGATGAGAAGAATACACTCGATCGAAGACCAGGCAGAACTACAAAGGGATCTGGACAGGCTGCAGACCTGGTCCAGCAATTGGCTCCTGGAGTTCAATCCACCAAGTGCAAAGTCATGAAGATTGGGGAAGGGCAAAGAAGGCCGCAGACGGAGTACAGTCTAGGGGGTCAGAGACTACAAACCTCACTCAAGGAAAAAGATCTTGGGGTGAGTTAAAACCCAGGCACATCTCCTGAAGCGCACATCAACAAAATAACTGCTGCAGCATATGGGCGCCTAGCAAACCTCAGAACAGCATTCCGACATCTTAATAAGGAATCGTTCAGGACCCTGTACACCGTTATACGTTAGGCCCATATTGGAGTATGCGGCAGCAGTTTGGAACCCACACCTAGCCAAGCACGTAAAGAAACTAGAGAAAGTGCAAAGGTTTGCAACAGACTAGTCCCAGAGCTAAGAGGTATGTCCTACGAGGAGAGGTTAAGGGAAATCAACCTGACGACACTGGAGGACAGGAGAGATAGGGGGGACATGGTAACGACATACAAAATACTGAGGGGAATTGACAAGGTGGACAAAGACAGGATGTTCCAGAGATTGGACACAGTAACAAGGGGACACAGTTGGAAGCTGAAGACACAGATGAATCACAGGGATGTTAGGAAGTATTTCTTCAGCCACAGAGTAGTCAGTAAGTGGAATAGTTTGGGAAGCGATGTAGTGGAGGCAGGATCCATACATAGCTTTAAGCAGAGGTATGATAAAGCTCACGGCTCGGGGAGAGTGACCTAGTAGCGATCAGTGAAGAGGCGGGGCCAGGAGCTCGGACTCGACCCCCGCAACCTCAACTAGGTGAGTACAACTAGGTGAGTACACACACACATTCGAGTAACAGGGATGTTAGGAAGTATTTCTTCAGTCAAAGAGTTGTCAGGAAGTGGAACAATCTGAAGAATAATTTAGTGGAGGCAGGATCCAAGCATAGCTTTAAAAAGAGGTACGATAAAACTCATGGAGCACGGAGAGAGTGGACCTAGTAATTACCAGCGAAGAGGCGGGGGCAGTAGCTGTGAATCGACCCCTGCAACCACAAACTGGTAAAGACACTCTCTCTCTCTCTCTCACACACACACACATAGTGATCAACCTTCCGATCATCGACGCGTTACGGAAGACTGGAATGTTTGGCGTGGTGACGTCATCATAGGGTCCTAAGTGGCAGTTAGGTGAACCGAACCAGTAGTCGAACCCTCGTTCCAGGGGCAGGTAAGGTGAGCGGTGCCCCAGGTGCCTGAGGGAGGGGCAGGGGTTGTGGTGCAGGGGGAGGGAGGGAAGGGGAGGAAAAATATACATTAGATGTATATACGTATTTGTATGTATACTTAAAACAAAAACCACACTATACGCATGACACATATACATAATCTCAACAAATATTCATACTATGGTCGTACCATAGTATGAATAGCAGGAAAAATATACAAACTTCACTCTTTAATTAGTGTCTCAGAGAGTCAGTCTGCAAGAGCAAATACAAAGGACAGATGAAACAATAATTAAAAAAATTAGCAAATATATTTTCTATTTTGAGTGTGACATAAATATTGCAGGAAGGAGAAGGTTACGACCCTTGTACACTCTTCACCAGAAATTAATATATTTTGTGGAATTCAGAAAAAAACTTGAAAATTAAAAAAAAAATGGATCAGATGAAAGAACTTTGAGCATGAAAGGAAAATGTATTATTATGGGTCAGTGTCACTCATAGGGTGCCACAACTATTAGTGTTATTATGGGTCAGTGTCACTCATAGGGTGCCACAACTATTAGTGTTATTATGGGTTAGTGCCACTCATAGGGTGCCACAACCATTAGTGTTATTAAGGGTCAGTGCCACTCATATGGTGCCACAAGCTCCAGTATTTTTCCTAATTTCTATGATTTTTGCAGAGTCACTAAAGGACTATACACACAAAAAAAAATCATTTTTAAAAGGGTGGACAGGTAAGCCAGCGAAAGGTCTCGGTCAGATAACCGAAAGCTCCAGCTGCGGGTCATCATATGACTAAGACCCGCGTCAGGAAACACTTGTCTTGTTTCCTGACCAATCTTTCGTAACCTAACCTCCCTAAACATAGTTACTGATTAAAGAAAAAGTGTTGTTCAAGCCGGACTGGCCGGATTCTCACCACTTTCCGATAAGTCCAGAAGTGTATCCTCGGGACTTGAGAAGCTCAGGCAGCAACACCTCGCTCTGGGAGATTCCTCCCACGATTTCCTGTGGCGTGTAAGCTGCCGAGGAAAGTCAAGCTTACTGGGGGGAAACATTCAAGCTTACTAAGTAGACATTCAAAACTACTGGGAAATCAGTTAAGCTTACTGAGGAAGCAGTCAACCTCACTGGGAAAGACAGTCAAAATTACTGGAGGACGCAGCAGTAGTAGTGGTAATAGTGGTTGTGATTCTTACAGAACACTTCGACCATTTAGGCCACTCAGTGTTCTCTGATCCTCTCGTCACCCAGAGACTGCGGGAGAGAACCTTAAGAATATTTAAATCCGTAGGACACTCACTTAGAGCTTTCTAATATGAGAGGATCACATCAGGCGACACTAGATCATTCCCGTGAAAATAACCTACTGCTGCTAGGAAAGAAGCACGCTATGGAGTAGCAGACAGTGAGTAGGCTGTGGAACCCGTGACCAGGTAAGGGAAAGCAGTAAGGCTAACTGGAAGACAGTCAAAATATTGGGGAATATAAGCTAACTGGGAGCACGGATAAGTATCCCGGGGCGAGAGGGGAGGGGAACAGAGTCACGAGTGTAACATATGAGGGAAGGAACCTTCCCTCACAGTATGTGAGGGAAGGAGTACTCCCTCACAGGAATAGCTTCAGCCATGTAAAATTTATGGTATTTTTGCTGCAAAGGGGACAGATAATTAACATGTTTTGGTGTACTGAGATACACTCACCATTCCTGCAGTTCAGTATGGAAATACACTCACCATTCCTGCCATGGGTGTTGTTAGTGTAAAAACCATTCCTGATGGGCAGTCGGCCGGTGAGAAGAGCAGCTCTGGCTGTGGGAACACATCAAGATCATCTTTAGTTACCCAGTCATCTGAGCCATTTTCAGACATATTATTGTACACATTAGTAAGTCTTGTAGGAGTGAGGAAGAGCCAGTTGTGAGTGTGGGGGAAGTTCGTGAGGCAGTAGGTAAAATGAAAGGGGGTAAGGCAGCCGGGATTGATGGGATAAAGATAGAAATGTTAAAAGCAGGTGGGGATATAGTTTTGGAGTGGTTGGTGCAATTATTTAATAAATGTTTGGAAGAGGGTAAGGTACCTAGGGATTGGCAGAGAGCATGCATAGTTCCTTTGTATAAAGGCAAAGGGGATAAAAGAGAGTGCAAAATTATAGGGGGGTAAGTCTGTTGAGTATACCTGGCAAAGTGTATGGTAGAGTTATTATTGAAAGAATTAAGAGTAAGACGGAGAATAGGATAGCAGATGAACAAGGAGGCTTTAGGAAAGGTAGGGGGTGTGTGGACCAGGTGTTTACAGTGAAACATATAAGTGAACAGTATTTAGATAAGGCTAAAGAGGTCTTTGTGGCATTTATGGATTTGGAAAAGGCGTATGACAGGGTGGATAGGGGGGCAATGTGGCAGATGTTGCAGGTGTATGGTGTAGGAGGTAGGTTACTGAAAGCAGTGAAGAGTTTTTACGAGGATAGTGAGGCTCAAGTTAGAGTATGTAGGAAAGAGGGAAATTATTTCCCAGTAAAAGTAGGCCTTAGACAAGGATGTGTGATGTCACCGTGGTTGTTTAATATATTTATAGATGGGGTTGTAAGAGAAGTAAATGCGAGGGTCTTGGCAAGAGGCGTGGAGTTAAAAGATAAAGAATCACACATAAAGTGGGAGTTGTCACAGTTGCTCTTTGCTGATGACACTGTGGTCTTGGGAGATTCTGAAGAGAAGTTGCAGAGATTGGTGGATGAATTTGGTAGGGTGTGCAAAAGAAGAAAATTGAAAGAGTAAGGTCATGAGGATAACAAAAAGATTAGGTGATGAAAGATTGGATATCAGATTGGAGGGAGAGAGTATGGAGGAGGTGAATGTATTCAGATATTTGGGAGTGGACATGTCAGCGGATGGGTCTATGAAAGATGAGGTAAATCATAGAATTGATGAGGGGAAAAGGGTGAGCGGTGCACTTAGGAGTCTGTGGAGACAAAGAACTTTGTCCTTGGAGGCAAAGAGGGGAATGTATGAGAGTATAGTTTTACCAACGCTCTTATATGGGTGTGAAGCATGGGTGATGAATGTTGCAGCGAGGAGAAGGCTGGAGGCAGTGGAGATGTCATGTCTGAGAGCAATGTGTGGTGTGAATATAATGCAGAGAATTCGTAGTTTGGAAGTTAGGAGGAGGTGCGGGATTACCAAAACTGTTGTCCAGAGGGCTGAGGAAGGGTTGAGGTGGTTCGGACATGTGGAGAGAATGGAGCGAAACAGAATAACTTCAAGAGTGTATCAGTCTGTAGTGGAAGGAAGGCGGGGTAGGGGTCGGCCTAGGAAAGGTTAGAGGGAGGGGGTAAAGGAGGTTTTGTGTGCGAGGGGCTTGGACTTCCAGCAGGCATGCGTGAGCGTGTTTGATAGGAGTGAATGGAGACAAATGGTTTTTAATACTTGACGTGCTGTTGGAGTGTGAGCAAAGTAACATTTATGAAGGGGTTCAGGGAAACCGGCAGGCCGGACTTGAGTTCCTGGAGATGGGAAGTACAGTGCCTGCACTCTGAAGGAGGGGTGTTAATGTTGCAGTTTAAAAACTGTAGTGTAAAGCACCCTTCTGGCAAGACAATGATGGAGTGAATGATGGTGAAAGTTTTTCTTTTTCGGGCCACCCTGCCTTGGTGGGAATCGGCCAGTGTGATAATAAAAAAAAAATAATTAGTAAGTCATGCTCAGATATGAGCAATGTTACATATTTAAGATAGTACATATGCTGAAACACACAAGTGATATTAGATACCTATCAATGGCCCAAACGAACCCACATATCGGAAATAAATGACCCACATCAATAAAAGGGTTCAAAGTAAGGCCAAAGAATGTTTTAGTCATTATTTTCTTATTCCTTGCATTTGTATTCCTCTTGTTGAATAAAGACACACATTAGTAGCATTTTATGATAACTTAATAAATCTAGGTTATTTCTGTCGCTACTGGGAGCATAGGAAGGTTTAATATTAATGTTACTTACACGGTGAGCAGAGAGGAGCAGCGGTGTACATGGAGGTCACAGTGAGACCATCTCGGGCCATCTTGTCTACATTTGGGGTCTCCCTGCTGGGCTCCCCGTTCGTGCCTAGGTCTCCCCAGCCCATCTGTGGGAAGGAAGACCACAGGGTTACTCAGAGACCATTATAACTAGCATTTAGATCACTAGAGATAACCTCAAGACCAATACAGATAATTTAGACCGTCAGAGATACACGGAACAGAAAGGATTTTTTTTTTTCCGGTATTGAGGCGTTGTTGGCCGATAGGCAACAGAGAGTTTGTTTAAATGGGGAGAAATCAGAGTGGACTCCTAGGGAAAGGTCCCAAGGACCACAGTAGAAAAAAGCTACACTGTTCGGTGGCATTTTGGGGGAGGTCCCAGGGACCGCAGCAGAAACAAGTCACACTGATTGGTTTTCTTGGGTTATCCTGGGTTCGTAACCCGCCTGGGTTACCCTAAATTAAATCCATATGATGTACTTTTTACTTGCCAATATAAAATTGCGTATCCTTCAGGACCTTTGGCAACAATTTTGTATTTTATATAGTCAAAACCTAAAAAAAGCTAACTTAAATATTTGCATTAATATTGTATTAAATGGGAAGCGCTTAGTCCTTAGGGGGTATATACAGCTGTGAGAACTAAGAGGCAATCAATTATTGCCCAAGGAATGGGAGGATAACTCCAATTCCTTGAATTAAGAGCCCTTTAGCGGCCTCAATGAACCCACAACCACCTCCTCCTCCTGACGGGAGTAAGACTCACAATAGGTGATTTTACCACTGAAGAACCTGCAAAGTTTTCTGTAATATATCTTCGTTATTACACTCCTTACAGGGCCTACTAAAACCGTGTGGTGTATTATCTATCACCGTATAATACACACTCTGTAATATCTATCGTAGGTATTAAAGCATTCTTGGACTGGTGGTAAAACAGGTTACTTGCAGGCTTAATAACCTTCTCGTAGTAGAAAGGCTTTAAACCCAATTAACCAACATCATCACAGTTACAAACATGGCCAGCATGGGCAGTGATGACAAACCTGACATATACTTACATCGTCCATAAGCATTAGGGATTACATTTGGAGGTTGAGAGGTTCCTGAGGTGAACGGCAGGAGCAGCAACATGGGCAGGACTGCCATGACCATCAACACAACACCACCTTCCATTGCAGAGACTTCATGGCGGGCTACTGTTTCAGTGCTTGTCCAGCCAGACTCTCTTTCCCCTACTAAGCCAGACTCTCACTCCCTACTAACCCAGCCCTTCTCACTCCTACGAAGCCAGACTCTCACTCCCTACTAAGCCAGACTCTCACTCCCTACTAAGCCAGGCTCTAAACTCTTCTCTGCTCGGTCAGGCTCTCACTCCTCCCCCTAAACCAAACTCTCCCATCACGTACTGATAAAACCTTTATCATGTTATCTTTGAGGCGGGCACACGACCAGAAGCCTCCGATATTATCAAGGGATTTTCAGCCTAAATATTGCCGCTGTTTAAAAAAAATACAGAATGACAGCTAATGCTAAACTGCTATCAAAACCAGTAACGCCACCATCAAGCTGACCGCAGCACTGTTCTCCACATTCCACCAACAATCATAGGGTAACGGGATTCGATTCCCGGGCATCCGAGCAGCTTCACTTACACCTGCGTTCACTCAGCAATGTATACCTGGGTGTTAGTCGACAGGTGTGAGCGGCGTCCATGGTTAATCTTGCAATGAAAATGTGTAAGATAGTTTTTAGATTTTGCCACCGAAGTGGCTAGTCTATTGTACACCCAATAACCATCCTGTGGAGGGTAGCGCAAGAGCATATGGATACACAAAAGGCCTAGGAACTAGGTCCCAAAAGGGTTAACAGTTGTACATATGGGTTTTTATTTATCTACATATCTGCAGTTCACTTATCTTTTTACAAGCAAATTTAGGAAATTTGCTTATAAAATCTGGTATCTTATTTTCGTTAATAAGATATCTTGACATGTCACATAGGTTATTATATGTCTGTCTCTGTATTCTCAATAAGTGGACAATTAAGAACATAGTGTTCAAGACAGTGCCCATATTGCCTACCTGGAGTTTCCCTGGAGAGGGTTTCGGGGGCCAACCCCCCCGCTGCCGATCTGGGGACCAGGCCTCGTGGTGGATCAGGGTCTGATCAACCAGGCTGTTACTGCTGACCGCACGCAAGCTGACTTTACGAATCACAGTCCGGTTGGTCAGGTACTGTTTTTAGGTCCCTGCCCAGTGCCTTCTTGAAGACAGCCGGGGTCTATTGGTAATCCCCTTTATGTATGCTGGGAGGCAATTGAACAGTTTTGGGGCCCCCGGACACTTATTGTGTTGTCTCTCAGTGCACTCGTGGCGCCCCTGCTTTTCATCGGGGGAATGTTGTATCCCCTCCCCAGTCTTTTGCTTTTCATATGGAGTGATTTTCGTGTGAGGTTTGGTCCCAAATCCCCCCAGGACCTTCCAAGTGTATATTATCATGTATCTCTCTCGCCTGCGTTCCAGGGAATACAGATCAAGGACCTTAAAACCGTTCCCAGTAGTTTAGGTCCCTTATCGTACTTATGTGTGCCATAAAAGTTCTTTGTAACTCTCCAGGTCTGCAATGTCGCCGCCTTGACGGGGGCCGTTGTGTACTTGTCCCGTTGGGTTCGGTAACGTGGATTGGGTAAAGGATACTCACATAGGCAATAATGGAGTGTAATTAAAACGGAATATATGGGAAGTGCCCAACCTGACCTGCCGTCTGCCCTAACGTCTTTACTTAAACTGGGTTGCTGAATGCCTCGGGGGGCGAGCGGCACTCAAATCATGCTAGGGTCAGCGGTAACAGTGAAAAAACAAGTGATTACACAGACATTGGTAGTGAGTCCACTACTGATACTGGTAACTGGTTATGGTATGGTACTAGTGAGATACAAACAGTATTCCAGCCTAGAGAACACAAGCGATTGAAGAGAATCATCATGGGCTTGGCATCCTTGTTTTGAAGGTTATCATTATCCATCCTATCATTTTTTTAGCAGATGAGGTAAATACATTGTTTTGATCTTTGAAGGCGAGATTCCTCTGACATTATCACTCCCAGGTCCTTCACATTACTTTTCCACTCTATTGTATAGTTAGAATTGTGGTATACCCTGACACATTTTTTATTTCTTCAAGTTTTTCCATATCTGAGTAGCTGAAATTTCTCCTCGTTGAACTTCATATTATTTAGAGTGGCCCATTCGAAGATTTGGTTGATGTCCGCTTGGAGTCTCGCACTGTCTTCGATGGAGGTCACTGCCCTGGTGCTTTTTACCATGGCTTTTTGTTCTTCCTGTGATTCTTGTCTCCTATAAAATTCCTTCAGCTTAAGTTCGACATTTTCAATTTCATTGACTAGTGCCTCCCTTCGTATTTCAGATATATTGACCCCACTCAGCAGCTCTGTGACCCTTCGCCTTCGTCTGTATAGGGAGCATCTCTCTCTTTCTAGTTTACATCTTCTCTTTCTTTTACTTAATGGAATGTGTCTTGAGCAGATCTCAAGAACCACAGAATTCATTTTTTAAGGCAAGTGTTCGGATCCGTGTTGTTTAGAATATCTTCCAAGCTTGTTTCATTTAGGACATGGTTTACTTGATCCCATTGTATGTTTTTGTTATTGAAATTGAATTTCGTGAAGAGTCCTTCATGACTATTCACATTTTGCTGGTCCGGAGCCCTGCGCGACGGGCTGGAGTTTTGAGACTCTATGACCGCGGGTTCAATCCCGGCCGGGGGTATGGTTTATTTGCAATCGTGTCATTACGATTTCTTAAGTCAGTTCTATTATGTTGTGATCTGAGTGAATTGTCTTTGATACAGTTATATTACGTATCAGATCGTCATTTTTAGTGAAGATGAGGTCCAGCGTATTTTCTAGTCTTGTAGGCTCTACTATTTGTTGGTTTAAGGTGAATTTGTTGCAGAGATTTAATAGTTCGTGTATGTGTGAATTTTCATCTGAGCTGCCTCCCAAACTGCCAGAAGTACTTGTAACCAAGCCTAAGTCTGGCCACTACAACATCAGTCTGTTTACATTGCAAGTTGCTCCGTAAACATACTTATCTACGTTCATGTTATATAGTGGATTATTGATCTATCAGGCTTCTAACGCATTCCTATAACAATCATTTAATGAATTTTTGCAAGGGAAATGAAAATGTGAAAAAGACTCCAGTTCCCTGCAAAAAAATATCCTCCTTATGGAGGTTATTATGGAGGTTATTATGGAGGTTATTATGCAGGTTATTATGGAGGTTATTATGGAGGTTATTATGGAGGTTATTATGGAGGTTATTATGGAGGTTATTATGGGGGTTATTATGGAGGTTATTTGGAAAGGGTTTTTATGGAGGTTATTATGGAGGTTATTATGGAGGTTATTATGGAGGTTATTATGGAGGTTATTAGTTACAGCCAATAAATAATTAAATAAAAGTTATACTAACTACTTAACAAAATTAAAGAGGCTGGGTCACAGATCGGCTGCGGGGCTATGACCCCCGAAACTCTCTCCAGGTATACTCCCGGTATACTCCAGATATACTCCTGGTTTTACTCCAGGGTATGCTCCAGGTATCTCCAGGTATACTCCAGGTATACTCCAGGTATACTCCAGATATACTCCAGATATACTCCAGATATACTCCAGGTATACTCCAGGTAGTAGGCATCGTCATGAATTAAAATCAAATATATTTTATTATCATATTAAAGTTAATAATAATACGTAAATAATAAGAATACCCAATAAAGAGAAAAAACAAATAGATTTAGACGAAGAAGAATAAGCACTGACTGGTGTTCATCTTTTAAGAATATATATACACTGAGAGGTGTGTATTCCTCAGGTATACCAGTATTACACTGCGAGTATTTCATTTGTCTTGGTTATATTGATATTAGCATACTGATAAATTGTGGTTTTTAAGGACCCTCGTACAGTTCATAGGTTTTAAAGGGCCCTCGTACAGTTCATAGGCTTTAAGGACCCTCGTTACAGTTCATAGGCTTTAAGGACCCTCGTACAGTTCATAGGTTTTAAGGACCCTCGTACAGTTCATAGGCTTAAGGACCTCGTACAGTTCATAGGCTTTAAGGACCTCGTACAGTTCATAGGCTTTTAAGGATCTCGTACAGTTCATAGGTTTAAGGACCTTTGTACAGTTCATAGGCTTTAAGGAAATCGTACAGTTCATAGGCTTTAAGGACCCCTACAGTTATAGGCTTTAAGGACCCTCGTAAGTTCATAGGCTTTTTAAAGGGCCTCGTACAGTTCATAGGCTTTAAGGACCTGTACAGTTCATAGGTTTAAGGACCCTCGTACAGTTCATAGGCTTTAAGGACCCTCGTACAGTTCATAGGCTTTAAGGACCCTCGTAAAAGTTCATAGGTTTTTAAGGGGCCCTCGTACAGTTCATAGGCTTTAATGACCCCCTTACAGTCGAAAGCTAAGGTGTTAATGGCCTTTTGACCTGTTCATAAAGGGTTTTCAGTATAAAGTTTTGTTTATTGGCCAAGTTAATAATTGCAATTTGGAGAAGAAATTTGGACCCATTTCGGTCCCTTTTTGATCATTATTAAGTCGGGGCTGTTGTGTTTTGGGCGTTGATAATGGGTTAGAGACGAAGGAACCAGGTTAATGTTCCCCTAGGTTTGTTATTTTGTTTTTATTGGCAAAAAGTTTTATAGCCCCTTGAAAAAAAGGGCCCCCCGGCCCTT